TTTTCACTGTGTGAACACATACTGACTGTTGATAACATGTGCACTCTGACAGTAGTGAACTCCTGAATCTTCAGTCTGGACTCCACTGATGGTCAGAGTGAAGTCAGTCTTTGATCCACTGCCAGTGAAACGACCTGGAATTCCTGACGCTCGCTCGTTGACTCTGTATATAAGTAGTTTAGGGACTCCTCCATCTGTCTGTTGGTACCAATGTAAAAGGTCTTTACCACTAGATGATCCAACTTCAACTTGTGGACTGGTCCTACAGCTGATGGTGACGGAGGCTCCCAGAGCAGAGCTCACTGCTCCAGACTGAGTCACTGTGACCTGTCCTCTGGACTCTGAGGACACAGAGACAGAAACATAAAGCAGCGTCATGGTTTTGTCGGCTTCATTTCAGAGGGACGGATGTTGATAGAGGAGAGGAGTTTGATTCTCTGGACTTTACCTGTGAAGCAGCAGCAGAGGAGAGTCCAGATGAGGACGGAGACCAAAGTCATGTTTCTGATGAGGAGGATTTCTGTGTCTTCTGTTGTCATGAAGGACAGCTGTCAGTCATCCAGTCTTCAACTCTCAGGACTATAAACTCTCCCAGAGCACTGGAGCATGGTGCTGCTGATGCAAAGTGGCTCTCTATGGAAATGCTCTGACTGACTCCACTGCTCTTTTTCTACTCTCTGTAACACTCTCTCTCTCTTTCTCAGGTTCTGTCTTTCTCTCTGGTGTTTGCTAGTTTTCTCTAATGTTTCTAATTTCACTATTTCCAGAAAATAAAGATCTGTTCATCAAATAAATTCTGTTTCCAGAAATAAATATTCAGGTATCATCAGCATAAAGAGATAACCGATTACTTTACACTCACTCTGCAGCTCTATCTCTCTTTCTCTGTTTAAAAGTGGATTTATTATATATCTCAATAGTGCTGTTAGCTTCTAGTGATGCTGATTTGTTCAATATTTCATGACAACCAAGACTCTTTTTTCACAAATTTATTTTCAGTGTTCATAATTGAAGCGATACCTGTCTGCTGTCATGCTGCTGACGTCTTTAGAGTAACAGCTGATCCATGAAATCCATATTAACTTATCTCATTTCTGGATCAGCTCAAAGGGATGACACCATTGCTTGCTGATCACTTAACAGACAACAGTTTGGATACATTGATCGGCTGTAAAATATTCAGTAACTCATTTCAACCTGATTGTGTATCAGTATTTCAGTGTCCAGTGCCATCACAAAGCCTTTTTCTCTGAACCTGTTGAAAAGCCCTGGAAGCAATCTTTTCAACCTGGTCTCACACGACTCTTGTGCTGTGTTGATACTAAACTTATAAAATACTGTTTGTATGTTACAGAGTGTGATTTAAACAATATCTATGGATTACATATTTTGTGTTCCTTTACTTTGAATATACCTGCTGGTTTATGAGAGTGAATGTTGCCAAACTCAGTAACACTCAAAATCCTTGAACTTTTACTAACTGTTGATATGATCATTTTGTTTAAGCTGTTGATTTATATATCGTTCACTATCAAAATGACAGAATATGTTGGCTGTTCTTTCCCTTTTTTAAGTGGTACCAAGAGAAACTTTCATTATTATATTAATTAAAATTATTATTTGACATCAATAT